CTGGATGCAGGCTGGGAGCTAGCTGGGAGTCACCGTTTTGTTCTTCTTGCAGCCGGATGCAGGCTGGGAGCAAGCTGAATTATTAAACTTGCTCTTAGACCATCCATCCATGCATTTCATTGTGCGATGGCACTGCTGCTAGTAGCATCATCCGATTCTGTAGGCGAGGCGATCATGGATGTGGTACTAACGACTTTTTGCTGCTTGCTCGGAGCAGATGCCTGAACGCCGGCGCCGAGGACTTCATCGTGAAGCCCCTGCAGAGCAAGGACGTGCAGCGCCTCCGGAACTGCTCCACCGCCGCCGCGAGGCCCACCAAGGGCGGCGCCGCGCCGTGCGAGGCCGCCGCCGTGGCCAAGCGGAATAACAAGCCGCCGCTGGTGCTGCCGCCCTCCGCCGCCGCCACGTCGCCGTCGGGACGGCGAGCGAACCTCGCCGGAGTCGCCATGGTACGTTCCCTACGTCCGCGCCGGCTGCATGCCACTCCTCGACCTCGGACGAGACGGGGACGGTTAAATTAATTTCCTCATTTCTCTGTCTGATCGTGTCTGTCTCTGTTCCTTCTCTGCCAGGTGCTGCACTCGTCGAGCGTGGAGCTCTCGCAGTACCTGCCGCTCCTGCTCAAGCTCGTCGTGCTGGCGTACGCCATCCTGTGCCTGGGCGAGCTCCTACACAGATGGTCGTCGGGTGGCCGCTGCTCGCTCTCCCTCTGGTGCGCCTGAGCAGCAAAGCCAGCAACGCTGCAGCGCAGTGCAGCGTGCAACAGTGCAAGTCCTGGGCACCAACAGGAGACCGATGATGCAAATGCAGAGCTCTTCTGCTGCTGCACCAAGCAAAGCACTGCCATTTTCAGGCTCCAACAGCCGTGGAGATTTAGCTAGTCGTTAATTAATTTAGGTAGAAGAAGATTGTCTGCTTTCAGATTCTAACCGGGGTTTCGATCGATGAGTGTCGGCCACGTACGTACGCTTGCTAGCTTCTCGGTGGCTTTCGTCTGTTGATTTGAGGGAGACGTCGTAGGAAGGAGGAGGAAGAACGAACCCCTTGTATCCTTGTATAGAATGAATTCAGAATGCAACGCATGATCCGATCGAGCAAAGTACCTGGCGTCCTTTTCGGCCTGGATCCGGGGCTGATATGCTGATGCGACGGCGGAGGAGTCTTTCTCACGCCTGTTTCGTCCTGGGTAGGGTGATGGCAACTGCTCACCTGTTCTTGCAGTTCAGATCATCAGATCCGATCCGATTGCCATGGGAAAGACGACAACGCAGGTTGACTTAGCTTTAATGTAGCATCAGATCCTTCTGATGGTTAAAGGTATACATAAATGCGTTCTTCCCAACTCGACGATTGTGATGTTTATTAGTACTCATCAGTCTCTGTGACCTTGAGCTGTGCAATTTCATCCAGCCAGATGAACGCATTTGTGGCAGCAGAGATTCATGCTACGATGCTAGAGTAGAATGTTTTGATTTCAGATGTAAAAAAATTCAGACGCTGTACGGGTGTGAGTGAGGTTCATAGAGTTCGGGAAGGCCGCGCCGCTGCCAACGTCGCCTGTGGAGCCCACTCCTTCCTCTGCAGAGCTGACGGCGCCACCCATTCCCCCTCCGCCGCCGGGGTCACCGTCGACATGAGCTCCCCGCAGCCATGCGGGGGAGCCGTCTCTGGCGCGGCCACCCCACTGCTGCCAGGCGCAGCCGCCGCCCAACCCGAATCGCAGCTGGTGGAGGACGAGTCGCTGGTTCTCGTCGAGGACGTCTCGGATGACGAGGATGCCTCGGCGCCTAGCTCGCCACAGCGGCCCCATCTGGCGTCGGGGCTTGACATCTTCCTCGTGCACCCCTCCGTGCCCAGCCCGTCGTCCTCTCTGTCCTCCCTCGCCTCCCCTTTCCACCCTGGGGACGGATCGATGGGGCGTTCCAAGGCTCGTCGTTGGGCGGATGAGGACCTTGACGACTCTGACGCGGAGAGGTCGCCGGTCACCTCCCCAACCTCCTACCTCGACGCAGGTCGCCTTTGCTGGAGCGTGCCAAGTCGCGCCTCACTCGCGGCAACGCTGCTGCTGAGCGGGGCAAGCGCCCCCTGGCTGGGGGGGGGCGACCAGCCAACGTCGCAAGAGGTGCGCACAACAGTGCTGTTGGTGCTGGCGTTGTACACGGGCCGCCCAAACGGCATCGGACTTCACCTCGGTCGCTGCTGGAACTGAGGCAAGGCACGGTGGGCTGACCAACGCGACGGGCATGGTTGAACCCGACCCGTTGATGCTCACGTTGTACTCGGGCGCCACACAGGATCGCGACATCTCGGAGGCCCCGATGGTTGAGGAGTTCGTAGCCTCGCTCGTCGACAGTCAGATCGTCACGTGGCCTTCCCTTGAGCACCTCCCGTCAACTTCGGCGACCCCCAACTTCCGGATGAGGCACCGGCGGTGGCGGCCCCCCAGCTGGAGGATGCGGTAGGCTCCTGTGTGCTACGGACACCACCCCCACGCCCCATTCAGTGGGCAGTGGACTCGTCGAAGACACACGCGGTCGACCTCACGGTGGATGGCCCTTCCAGTTCACCACCAGGGGTTACTCACTAGGCTGTGGACAACGATGACTCCGCCAAACGACGCCTCGACAGCTTCATCAACAATGTCACGCGTAAGAGGGACTCTCCGCTGATTCGCGAGCCTCCCAAGCAGCCTCCTACTAAGCCGGTACTGTCGTGGCGGAGCAGGCGATTGGCGGCTCAGAGCCTCTCCCGAGTGCCAGCTTCCAAGCGAGGTGAGGTGCTGATCATGCAGCGTATGGGCTACACTAGGGGTCCATCTGCGCCATCCGCTTCGGAGTTGGAAGCCTTTGACAGGCTCTTCGACGGCAACCTGACTGCGTCCGAAGCCGAGGCGCTGAACGAGCTCTTCCCAGCCGTTGGAAAGGCACCGTTTAGGCAGCCGCGAAGACGCAAGGCCAACTAGGCCACAAAGCTGCGTCAATATTGGTCGTTTTCTTTTATGTAATATCGAAACATGAGGTTATTTGCTAGGATGGTTCAGCTTCGGCTGTGTAAGGTCGACCTCATTCGGCGCTCGATAGAAGCGAAAAAAAAAAGTTCTTAGAGTTCAACAACATCAGTTCCCTGTGGTTGTGTAGTCATATTCCTGCTGCTACTGCTATATAAAAGGTTCTACTGCTACGATACAGTATGCAAGGCAGCGAGTCCCTTTTCAGTCTTCTACACATCAACGTCTTGCGGAGATGCAAACCTTTCAATATTTCTTCCTCGTATGGACCAGAATCATGCAGGAGCAAGACTTCAATGCCATGTCTAACCTGATATTTAAAAAGAAAGAAAGCTTCTTTCTCTAATCAGCAAATATAAGTTCACCTATCGTCCTAGTCAAATTCTTCAAACTTTGATTAGCAATATCTAAAAAACATGATTTTAAATGAACATAATTATATGATATCAAAATATTCTTCAAAAGAATCTAGGTCAATCTTTATAAATATAGAAAATAGATTTCGTATGTGGACCGACAAACATTGAGGCCTTGTTTAGTTCGCGGTTAGGAATCAGTATTTGACACTGTAGCACTTTCGTTTGTATTTGACAATTATTGTCCAATCATGGTCTAACTAGGCTCAAAAGATTCGTCTCGTAATTTACAATCAAACTATGTAATTAGTTATTTTTTTATCTATATTTAATATTCTATATATGTGTCCAAAGATTTAATGTGATAGAGAGAGAGTGTAAAAAAACTTGAATCTAAACGAGGCCTGAGTAGCATTAGCTCCGAAAAGTAAGACCGATGAAAGGCGATAATAAATCCTCTGTCCACACGATTTCGTGGAATCGTGGTGATAGTGCTGTACACAAGATGACAAGAGCATTCAATCTGCACAGCAGAGAGCCAGAGACGCATTAGCCATCATAAGTTCATAACGTAGTACTATCAGAACAAGATTCACATTGGGCGCCCTTTCACATTTAACGATGCCAAATGTAGCGTTTACTTCAACCGGCAATGATTTCTGAACCGATATAGGCCTTCTCTTGTAATCCGTATTTTTCAGCTTATATTTTTTAGTTGAAACAGCGTTTTTCTCTCACAATAAATCAGCAGGAACAGTGTTTCGGTTTTTTTTTTTTCAGCGAAGCGAATGGGGCCATAGTGCATTATTTTACGCCTGCCGGTTCGAACATTTCTAATGTAGTTTATCCTAGTTTTGCGGCTTCGGTTTTACTGTACTATAGCAATTTTAAAAGACTTTTTAAACATTTATTTCTTTTTAATATTCTGAGCCTAATAGCGTGGTACTACAGAATTTATTTAGGATACTAACGTATCATGATTAAATGACAGTTGTAGATATTTATGTATTTTTCTATAAATTTAGTTAAAGTCAGAGAAGTTTTGACAAAACAAAACGACTTCCATTTAAGAACTTACTATAAAGCAAGTGCGGTACAGAATCAGAATGCTGTGCACAATCCGAGGATATCTGACGTCCTTTTGGGCTTGGATCTTGTATGATATGCTGATGCGACGTTGCGCCTTTCTTTTCCTGCATATCCTCTTGGGTGATGCGAACTGCTCACCTGTTTCCTACTAATAGTTCAGATGATCCTTCTGATGGGAAAGATCTCATTAGAAAAGAGCGCAATATGCACGAAGCATCAGATCCTTCTGTTGGGTAAAGTAGAAACAGGTATAGCCTATAGCTCCCAACTCAACGGCTAGGTTTATGTAAGGCTGATGTAATAGCGCCCATAAAGCATTTCTGAATTCTGACACAGAGATGCATAATATCGCATAATGTTTGGGTTTAGATGTTGACCTTTCGAGCCAATGGTTTTTGATTTACATGTTAAATATTTACATTCCAAGCAGTGTACAGATGTGGGATTCGTAATTTGGTATGCCTAATGGGATTACCCATATTCCTGTTGCTACATTAAAGATGCTAATTCTATAAAACAGTATGCAAAGTGTAAGTCACTTTTGTGTTCTACAGGTCGACGCCTTGTTGAGCTGCAAACTCTTTCAGTAAGTCTTCCTTGTATGGACCCGAATCATGAAGGACCTTAATAGCACGCTTAACCTGATATTATTAACACCAAGAATATTAGTTAGGAGCGCCAGGAAAAGGCAGAAAGGTATGGAAACTGTGCATCATAGTAAACTGCATTTCCTTAAGGATTTTAAGAAAAAGAAGAGTCTGATATAAAATAAACGCCACACTGGTAATGTCAGCAATTACTCACCACTGGGAGGAAAAATAGAATTTCTCAACAATAAGCTAGAAAAAGGTAAAATAAGATATCATGCCTTATGCGTTAAGATATGGTATTAACAAACTACTGCGAAAGTCAATGCATGTTTACTAAGATGTCCTAATCTTAGCCACACTCAGGAAAATAATGAAACAAAAACAGGACAAGTTTCAGATTTAAGGGTGCCAGATGTGGTACTCAATCTAGGGTGAGTTTGGCATTGGATGTGGATGGCAAAACTACACTGATTAACTACAGATACTATGCACTCAGATGAAAGCGTTGTATGTGCGCCCACAAAAGATTATTTTCAGCACACATAGAAGTAAGTAGAACAAAGGCAGCAAGGTTGATATCACATAGTTTTGGCGAGAAACTGTTTCAAAATATCGACACGAAAATACCTGAGCTGTCTCATGTGTAAGAAAATTTCCAATAGCTGCCGCAAAACCAGGATTTGAAAAGTAATGGCAGCTGTAAGTTGTCACTGGGAGGTAACCACGCTGGATCTTGTGCTCTCCCTGAGCACCTGCCTCCACCTTACTCAAGTTTAACTCTATGGCTGCTTCAATCGCCTGGACAATATCACTATTCTATAAAACCATATAATGACATTGTTCCAAACATATGATTCTGAACATGAGCAAATTACCTGATAATAGCAAGCTTCAAAATGCAAATTGGGAAAGTAAGCATCTGGCAGGCATCCCCATAACCGGCCAAACAGTGTATCACCTCCAATAAGGTTAAGAGCTCCAGCAACAACTTTATCATCTTTTTCAGCAACAATAAGCATCACATTCTCCCCCATCTTTTCTCCCAAGAGGTGAAAGAAATCCCTTGTCAAGTATGGTCTGCCCCAACTGCAGTGAAAAGTAAGCTATGAGTGCTTTCTCTGGATCATTGGGTCGCCACAGAACTCACTTAATTGAACAGATTCGGATTTCGAAAACAGAGGACATAGGATGGGACAGAAAAGACCTATGGAAGCATCCCTACTATTCCTTGCTTTCTTTGATTAAGTTTAGTTCTTAATACACAATTAAATATTAATCCTTTCAAAAAATCATACATGTTTAACAGAGGGTGCGGATAAAAAAAAACCTAGACCAACCTAGGGGAAACTATGTGACATTGTAAATAAGAAGAAATGGACACTGGAATTCAAGTCGAAGAGTGAGTCAACAAGAATGGTGAAGCATCATGATAAGTATGAATGCCGGCAGAAGATGAACAACCATTTCAAGAACAACATGGGAATGGGATAATGTTAGGTATAAAATAAAAAAATACAAGGTAAGAAGAATGCGAAACCAAACTGATTATCAGTTGTGTTACGGTAGAATTTATAGAAGGCGTCCCAGTGGCTGCTCTGCAATGTGAATGGAAACAATTATAAGTAAGCTGTCCAGAAAGCAACAAAGCTAATGAGATATTGGTGAAGAATGTGATAATGTAAAATAAGTGACTGAAGAGTACGATTAAAGAACTATCTCTCCCTTATAATTACCTTTATTTCATCTCCACGAAGTCGCTTCATTTGCAAATTTTGAGCAGGAATCTGCGAAGTTTCCAAAAATGATTATCCTCAATTGACAGGCACATTTGAATCAATTAAGCCAAAAGAAGGTAAACCTTTTTACGTTCTTGTCTGATATTCTTCCGTTTAGGCTGCTTCAAATCCATCAGAAACTCATCAAAACTGAAAAAACATGGTGAACAAAGAATATCAGCAAACATTGAGAAATCACAATAAACTAGCCAACTAACATGTAATCTCACAAAGTTTAGCACAGAATCAACAAGGCAGTGATTCCACAAAAAATCCACTGTTTTAAAGCGATGGTCCACATGCTCTGCTTTATCTGAAATGTGTCCTCTTAGCTAGTTAGCTACAATTATCTGGCCAAGATAACTACTTTTTTTGGCACTAATAAAGGAAGAAGTTAGCCAAAATAGGTATAAGACCTCATGGCCCACAGAGAAAGTCTAACCAGAATGCTACAACAAGCTAATTAACCACTATTTACAGATAAATTACTACAGCAAATGATAGAGAGTATATCAACAACCAAGTGTCATATTTTTAACAAACATGAGATGTTGTGGGAAAAGAACAGAAAAATGCCTTGAGTTAACAGTATACGAGGGAAATAGTAGCTGCGCCCAAACTGTGGGCTTGTTTGCACTTCTAGTCCACCAAGATTTTCTTAAAACTAGATGTCCCACCCAAGTATTGAAACCCCCAAGTTGCAGTATAATATGGTTACAACTTAGAAGTCCCAACTTCAAGCATTGAACCATCCAGAAGGAAATGCTATTAATATCATAATGTGTTAGCACCTCTTGTAATTCCGATTTCTCCAGTGATATTGCAACCCAATTCTTTGTAACAACCCACTATCCTTCAATTTGCTGAATTCACCTTGAGACGGAAAAGTAATATGTAATGATGACACGTTCATCTGAAATGCAGCAGAAACCAACATATATTAACTTGGTTCAATACATCCGAAGGTAGTCTTTTAAGAACTATACAGAGGTAGTTGATAAATAAACAAAGCAACCCAAAAAGGTTGTCACTACTTCACATATACATGAGTCTACATCAATAATTAGTAATGTGACATCCGTCCCAGTTTTAATTAGGCCCATGGTGGCCCATGTGTGTGCTAATGCAAGTTTGTAGGGGGTTTAGTCCCACCTTGCTTGTTGAGGGTGGGTTAGACTAACATATAATGTTTCTAGAGTCCATGCCATCAACCCCGGGTTAACCCTTTTATGTGAAGCGAAGAAAGCTTAAGTAGGTTGGTGGGAGTGTGAGCGCTCAGAGTGAATCTGAGCTGTTTGGACTTTGGGGTGTTACAAGTTAACACCATAAAGATAACAAAACATGAGTTGTAAAGAGAGACAGGATTTTAAACTTTTATTACTTCAGCATTGACTCATCGCCGGCACACATTAAGTAAAGATCAAGCCCTGATTTAGCAACTTTGTAGCTGCAAGCAGACAACCCAGTTCTTCTATTTAAACGAAACAGACTTGGTGCCCTTTGGTATACATTGTAAATGTCATGAAAACGAGAATGGAAAAAGACAAATGACTCAAGAATTAAGAAACGGTGAGTTCTATAGGATATCAGAATGCCATATGAAGTAGAGCAGATAAAAGGTGGAAAACAATGAACAGTAGCACATAGATGCTGTAATATAGGATGTTTGCTATAATTGTTAGGCATTCTTAGTAGACACTACTTTAAACAAATATTTGCAAGAATGCTAACCCAGATACCTTGGTAGTCAGGCTCATCAAACCTTTGACTAGTGCATCAAAAACTTGATCACGGTATGATGTATTTCGAAGTAATATTCTTTGACCCGTTACTGGAGTAAAAGGCACGCAAGACTGGAGCTTTGGATAGTATTCAAGGCCATAGTTGTAGTAAGCTTCTGCCCATGATTGATCGAACACAAACTCTCCTCTAGAATGGCTGCAAGTTCACAATGTTGTCGCTCAACCAATGAACAAGATGAAAGGAGCACATAGTACATGGCAAGTAGGAAAACAGTAGATGATATTCTGTAAATGATGTTAAACCTTTTAAGGTAAAGTGGAACAACACCTATAACATGTCCGTTCTCGTCCCGTGCAACAACATGGAAAGGTAACCAGCCAGTTTCCTGAAATCAGCCGAAGAGACCAAGGTCCCAAGGAAGACAATAAGATAACAGTGTGTACATCCATGCATATTGGTACTGAATAAAAGTTAGAGCTAATCTTTGTTCAATCTATGGGAGTAATTTTCACAAAGAAAGCAACTGTACAATTAAGAATCACAAAAAAAAAAGAATCACAATCATGATGGGTCAGGCTAAGCACATAGAAAAAGGAACTCATTGGTCATAGGTAATTCATAATTTGTGATGTCTCAATATGCCTAGTGGTATTGCAGACAAATCTTGTTTGTAGTTCTGTTGCCAATTAAACACAGCAAATTTATTGTCAAAATCAATGTTTTCAACATTACACAGGCTTATAATGGAGCTTGAGCACTTAACAGTTAAAACTAGTGTTCACCTAAACGCTAAACGTTATACAGCCGGTCACCTATCATTCAGCCATTATTCGGGCTAAACGACCAATTAAACGGTTAAACAGGCTAAAAGTCTGTGTAGGCAGTAGTTGAGCAGTGATTAAAACTGAAATGTCTTTGTATGATCTGATGAGAATACATGGTGATTTATGTGCTTACCTTTACCGCAGAACCTGATTCTTCTAAGCTTGAGAGGAATGCATAAGTAAGGAAAGGGTTAAAGTTTTGAGGATCATCTGGATCACACGCACAGGCATCCCAATCCGCAGCAGGAATGTCCATGATAGAAGAAGCAACAGAAATAGACACCTCACGTGGTTTCGTACCTACCTGAAACAAACGAGCGATTAAGGAAATCATGAATTAGGTGCATAGGTCCTGGAAAAGGAGTTCACTCAAGAAACACAAAACACCTCTGAGGCTGACCCTGAGAGCATATATGATTCAGCAGGAGGGATCGGTTGACGTGTTGTCGTGTCTCCCTTAGGCCACCCAAAAAGTGCATTGACCTTTAATCGTGGCGCCAAGCTTCGGAAGCCAACTTTTGAAGGTGGATGTCCCTGCAAATGAACGTCACCAGAGTGAACAAACTTAGTTTTGAGAACAAAATTCTGTAGCAGGATGAACAAACATTATACAGAACAGAATATAGGTAAACAAAGGAAGCTAAACAGATGCCAGAATGGGCGTAAACCATATGGCCACTTTAGACCAAACTTATTCTGGAACAGCCCAGGCAGTTGCAGCGTTGAATAATGTTACATGTGCAAAAGACTCAGACAAGCAACTTGTAGTGTCCGATATATCCATTTCTCTCCTGCTTAATGAAGCACTCGAACAAACCATCAATACGGGCCATACCATTATCGAACAGAATCAGCATATGTTATACGTGGAAATCATGATTTCTGCGTGGGGCATATATTATATATATACTGACAATCCAAACCATCAATCCGGCCCTTCAGTACAAAACCATCATCCAAACAATTGTGCACATCAGCCTTCTGCCTCCAAATCTAACACTCACTCAAGTAGTCAAGTAGTACTGTTTCGTGTCAGTCAGAACCAGATAATCCATGGCTAAACGGGTTCCGCTCATTCCCTCCCAGAAGAATTAAGAATATGGCAGCTTCGGAACGAGGTGCGGCGTTGAAACCCTACGGTTCTCAGGAGCTCACACTAACCGCACCGCTGGGCGTGGATTCCACCAGCGGAATTACACTACATCCGGGGGGAGGGGGGGAGCACTCACGCGGCGGCAGTGGCGAGGGCCGGAGGCAAGGACGGTGGGGGAAGGGTGCCGCGTCACCGCCGCCGGCGAGGCCATCGCTTGGTCGCGCGCCTCAGGCTCGCTCCGCTCCGGGCGCCGAGGTGCGAGGAGACGCGCGAGCTTCGGGAGAGGGAGGCGCGATGCTGACGCCTGGGTCACGCGAGCCAACTACGCGATGCGTGGTGTGGGTGTGGCTTCTTCGCGCAGCAGGCTGCTGCAGGCCACCTGGCTCCACGAACTGCTCTGCGCTTGCGAACCACAAGACTGCACGAAAACGAAAGCGCGCACACGGGCAGAGGGGCCACATCGCCAGAGGGTCAGGGAGGGCCGGAGGGGCCACATCGCCACGAACTACTCTGCTGCTTGCCAAGTTGCCCATTAGCTCGATTTCCTTCTTTTAAGTTCTTTTTTTTTTCTGTTTTAGGATGTGGACATTAGCTCAAAAGCTCAGACAACTGACCTCGAGCTCAAGATCTAAGACATCACAAGTTGATTTCTGTTCACAATTGACAGGGCACGAGGAATGCCATGCTTGAAAGCAAAATGCTTGGAGCTTGGAGAGCCAATGAAATGCCAGTAAATCACAAAGCCTCTGCAACCACGTATGTCGGCAAAGCAATGGTTTACATCGAAGAAGATACGAAGTAGATCAATGACTTATCAGTTATGACGAGTGTTTTTTACCAGCAGAGCCTCTAGAGGAATCACACAGTAAAAAAGACTGGTTATTAGCAATGGCAACCCAATTCTGCAGATAGCATTGCATGTCATTGCCGTACACTAGCACAATTACGGTCATTACAATCACACCATTGCATGTCAAGTGGGAACGAAGTTACTGTTCAAGGAGGTTAAATAACATCACATATGTACAAATTCGCTTTATTAATCAAGAAAAATAAACAATTAGTTTCTGGAATTTCCTATTGCCCACCCTGCCATTCTAGTTTCATAGGCAGTGGCTATGTCGGCACAACTGATACATACATCATGTTACAATTGTACAAACTTCTACAGGTTCACCTGCGGCGGAATTTCGGACGAACCGCAAAAACACCAGGCCTCAGTTCATCAAATCGATACCTGCAAGCAGAAGGCTGTCAATCATACTTGCGTGTGTACACTTAGATGTAGAGCTGTACTGATTGCATCGAATGTTACCCGTTCTCAATAAGGAAGCCCCTAATGGCGACAGGCAGTGAAGCCTGCCCTTTGCTATGGTTACCCATCCCTGTGTAAAGTACAAACAGAAATGAGTTATTGCCAAAGCTGTTATTAAATGAACCAAATCAATGCATTATCTGCTTGTAAAATGATACCAAGATGCTCTCATCCATTAAATTGCGCATTTGCAGATCATAATTACAAAGATAGCGGCAAGAAAAGTAATGAACATAAACTGTTTCAGTTTTGATATGAAACCATCAACTGTATGTGATAGGAAAGCATGCATAGAGGAACAGCAGATTACCTGTGATCACATGTAAGATAGACTGCTTAGGCCGGCGTAAGACCACCTTCTCAGTGGCAAGCTCAATGTTTGAACCAGTGGTTGATTCAGACTCCAACTTAGCTAAGTCCTCAGTTGAAGCTGACTTATTCCCAGGCTGCTGGAACTCTATCATGTGGAGATGCCTCTCCAATACTGCCACAGCCTCTGATGCATGAAGACCATGCATGTCTATCTTCCAGATGTCATTATTGCTATTCCTAAGCCGAAATATTTCTTCCGCTGCCTTGTTATTCAGCTTTTCAGCAGCTGCCCGCTCTTCCTGAGCTCTGAGAGAGAGTTCCTTGGCAGCAGCATGGTCACCTCTCAAGAATGCATTGCTGGCAGACTGGGAATGCTTTGTGGCAGCCCTGCGACCAAAGGGAAAGAGTTGACTTTGGTCATCACATAAAACAAGTGTACAAACCTTAAATAAAAAATATTGCCATCTTCAACTGTCTTAGTGTCTGATCAATTTTTATGGACTGTTAGACCTATAATTCAAGGATTTCATATTTCTTTCTAGAATGCTTTACAAATTAATGGCTTTGAATGCTCATGCAAGTTTGGAATTACAAGAGTAAATGATCATATGCAAGTTCTATGCTCGAATGAACATCCTAGGCTCCTGATGGATAGAGAAAGAATAGAGACACACTTCTTCTGTGCATAACCCAGAGCAAATATAATGCTAACAGCGGACAATTTGAAAAACATAAGCAGAAACAAGGAATCTCATCATACCTCATCATCTTCAATGCATCTTTCCGGTAGTTTAAGTAATCATCATCAATCTCTTCGGATTCAGGCTGCAAGGGTATAGAGGGAAAATTCATCGGTGGCAGCAACAACTGTGAGCTATCTGGATTTGCATTGCCTGCTGCAGAACTTTCTGATGGTAATCCATGTGTTTTATTCATCACAGCAGCAGGATGGCCAGATGTTCTGCCCTCTCCAGTCTGCAAGTCAGGAGAGACCATAGCTTTCAACAAATCAGATGCTTGGCTGACATCATTATTTACAGCAGCTAGTACATCCTCGATTAAATTACTGTCGACCCAACTGTGTGCATCTTTCAAGAGCTCAACTTTATTAACAGATGCAGAGATTGCACCGTGATTCCCATTATCCACATGATTAGCAGAAATCTTATTTCCGCGTCCATTACTAACAGCTCCAGAATCAACAGAAGGGCGAACCACTGAAGCAAAAGGCTTTGCTTTCGGCCCATTCTTTTCTGTAATGGAGCTGCTAGCAAGATTGGGGGCTCCAAAACTTGAGAGAGCCGGAAATGAATCAGCATCACCTTCATCCCCACTGCCATCTGCGCTGCGCCACTTGCGATCAAACGCAGCCCACCCAGAGTTTGCAATCTTCTGCCTATGCATTTCAACAGCTGGCCTCCTTCTTGATCAGTCTAGTTTCAGTTAAAACTGAAGAAGCTGCCAATGCTGTGATTGCTATCACAAGGATGCTGGGCCAGTCGTTTTATTTCCCACCACCAGCTGAGAAATCCACCAGTGTTCTCCTATAACGTGGGAGCAAAAAGGTCAGCTCAGTTCACCCAATACAGGCTCTTCGTAATTAGACTTGAGGCTGCTTGTGTTTCACAAAATCACAAGCATGCTCCAGTTATTCTATCTAATATGTTTGAGTCTAACATTATTGTGAATATTGGGATTTGGTCTGTATGATCAGATTATCTCTTTGGTGGTGGAGAGTCAACTGTGAGGTAGATCGAATGAACAATGTACTGGTTACAAGAGTTGACAGCAACCAAGCCGGCTTAACACCAAGGCCATCAAAATTAACACAAATGAACATCCAATCCACCCCAGAATAACAATTGAACGGATACAACCAAATCGAGTCAGTGAGCGCACCTCTCGAAGAGCCGTTATTTGGAGGCGTTGACCCACAGCTCCCGGAACCACGGCGTGGCGGGGGCCGAGGACGGCAGACGTGGCGGGGCGGAGGTCGCTTCGGACGTCAGGGCTACGGCGGCAGCTTTGGTCCTTCCGAAATCCATCAACGGCGTCGGCGCTTCCCGGTGAGCAAAGGGGAATCCTTTCTTTTCTCCGCGCGGCGAAAAGGGGACAGTTGCGTCGCGTGGGCGGCGAGGAGGCTATTATAGAAGTACGGCCGAACGGTCTATCCCGGGTTTGGTTGGTTGGTGACCTGTTCGGGCTCGATTTCCGTTTGGTGGACGGCAACGGGCAACCACGGGTTTCCTGGCGAAAACACGTGCCCTGGCTTAGCCCGTTCGTTTGGCTGTGGCTTGTCGTAAACAATCGTAAATTTTTAGTCGGAACAGTATTTTTCTCTCACACAAACCAGCTAGCAGTACTTCTTCACGAACCAGCAACGAAACGAACCAGCCAACCGAACAGGCAGAGTTTGGTTAGTTTGTGGATTCGGAGTCAGTGCCTTGCCCAACGCTTGAGCGCTGCTCGGCTTCCTCCCTGAATCCCAATCTCCTGCTCTTTTTCAAGATGCAGCTGAGAAGAAATCTGCAGCCGGCAGCAGTTGGTTCCTGCTTGCGCTCAACTGGGAGGCTATCAGTGCTAACAGCAAGTGCAGAACATGAACAGCTATTGAGTACCACAATGACCACGGGTACACAAAAACTTGCTGTTTGGCTTGCTCTTTGAACTGGATCCAGCAGTCGATGGAGCAATCCGAGTATTCGTTCACGGGCTTCAAGAAGCATATAGATCTTGACTTGAGATACCCCTCTCCAATCCGATCCGAAAAACGTGAACTTGAGTCTGGTAAGGGGGATTTCCATAATCTTTAAGGGGCTGTTCGGTTATTCTGGAATGGAGGCAGGAACCAATCCAGCTGATGAATTGTTATACAAATTATATAATCATTCCAGCCTAGAATAATTCCATGCCATGAATCCGAAACAACCGAACAAAGCAGTGTGGATATGCCTTAAAGACAAAAAACGCATAATGTGAAAAATAACACCATATCATACATCCACAAATTCAAGAACCGCGATTCAATCCGTAATGAGTGCTAATGAGCTTCTTACCAAAAGTGGTATGCTTCTCCAAAGTAGAGTGGCATTCAGGAGCAGTAGGATAAAAAAATTCATTGGAAGTCCATGCACATGAAGGCTCAAGCACTGGAACTGGAAGCACCTGCAATGCAAAATTCAGATCCGAAGAGAAACAACATTACATGGAGCATTACACAGAAAAAAAATCAATCCTTGATTTTTTTTTTACCTTCAGGTCTCTAGTCAAAGTGTTGTTGGCAGTGTGTGCAGTATTGACACACTGCCAAGTGCCAATACTAACAACTGTTACACTGAACTTGTCATCAACAGGAGAAGTGGGTATGGTATGCACCTATGAATGAAGGAAACATCAACTTCTTTTTAACAGCAAATCACGAGCTTTATACTTTCTAAGGACCTTGGTTAACTTGAAATCCATGGTCTCTTTCTTGGCTTCAAGATCCTTGCCGGTGCTCACATTTTTAGATAATGGAAATAATCTCCAGCCTCTGCAGGAAGCCATGAACCAGGGATGCACACAACCATAAATTATTATTAGTTCTCATAAAAATGCAGGATCAACCTGCTTCAGAAACAAAGTGAAAGTGTTATAAGTTTTTGGCTAATTTTAGAAAGGAAACAAATCTTGCTCATGTCAAAGCCTACTACAATCTCAACGATAGGTTCATTAGTAAGAAAGGAAGGATAACTCGGAAGGGTAAACTGTAAATCATATGCATGGTTATAGTACAGGTATGAGCACAAGAGTAAGACCGGGCGAGGATAAGGCTTGTCACTAACACCCCTCCCCAGACCCCGCACAGAGCGGGAGCTCTCTGCACTGGGTACGCTCTTTTAGTAACTTAGAGTAGAATAAACAATGCATTCTTGCCTCTGGAAGTAAAATCATAAAAAAGATAAAGAAAAATGTCAGAAACGAAATGCATGGCTAAAATGAAATTTTAGTATACCTCGGCTTGTAGAAAGACAAAAGGAACTGAGAATTTGAGAAGGCATAGGATGCAATTAAATTACCATCTGCTAGGACATGAAGATGCTTACTATTCCTGGACATGCGACAACTATTGCCTTCTAAGTAACTGAACCTCTTAAAACAAAACTATAAATCCTCATTTTTGCCTCTGCCAACAGGATGAACTTGTCAGTACAACTGTACAGGTATAAACATTAATGCCTACAAAATATTAATTTCATGCACAGATCAATAGCACCCAGCAGTCAGGAGACAAACTAGAATGCTTACATGACTAGGCTACTGCATACCTCAGTGAAACAAAGGAGAATTTGTTACTATTTGCAGCCAGGAAGTTGAAGTCCTGCAACTGAGTCAGGAAAGCCACCTAGCACATCTTTGATGAAGAGCACTTCACTTCTAGTTTCTGCAACTTGTGGTCACATAGATTTCATCATTGTCATGTTCTGCGTCTGTGTATCTTTGATTTGCTGATACAAACTTCCTAACATATCGTAGATACAAGACCTATCTTGGTGGTTAGTATCGCTGGCTATGAACAAATGCCTAGTCTTCTCAACCTCAATCCAGCTGCATCCTGCAGGTTTTTTCATATCCTGGGACTTCATCAGTTTCCGGACATGCTCAACACCATCCCATTTCTCATCAGCTGCATAGATGTTTGACATAATGACATAGTTCCCAATGTCCCCCTCTTCCATTGAGAACAACTGATCAGCGGCGAGTTGGCCAATTTTGATCTCTCCATGGACCTTGCATGCCCCTAGCAGGGAGCTCCATGCATTGGCATTGACCGCATGAGGGGGCATATCCAAGGCAAACATATATGCATCTTGGAGATGTCCGCTACGGGCAAGAAGGTCAACCATACACGCATAGTGTTCTGCTGTCGGTACAACTCTGTGAATCTCTCTGATGGACTTGAAATTTTTGATTCCTGCATCAACCAGCCCTGCGTGACTGCATGCTGACAGAAGCGTGGTCAGAACTACATGGTCTGGCCTAATATTAAGTTTAAGCATTTTAGAGAACAGCTCTACTGCCTCTTCTGCCATTCCATGCATCGCATAACATCCAATCATGGCAGTGAATGTAACGAGGTCCTTTGAGCTGACCTGAAAGATGTTATATGCATTGGTTATGTTGCCGCACTTTGAGTACGCATCAACAAGAGCTCCTTCAAGATGGATGTCTTCTAGGGATGCTCTGAGCATGTAGGCATGGCATTGTCTCACAAGCTGTACAGAACACAAATGGATGCAAGCCTCAAGAATGTTTGCAATGCTAACAATATCAGGCTTCAAGCCTTCAGATTGCAAGTGATTAAACAGACTGAAAGCTTGACCATCCATGTCATTCTGCGCATACAACTGGATCATCAAATTCCATGAAGTCAGGTCTTTCTCAGCCATATGGTTGAAGATCACCTCAGCGTCCTCTATACAGTTATTTTTCAGGTAGCAAGAAATCATTATATTATCAGTTACAATGTTTCGCCCAGCATGGTTTCTGAAAAGTATGCATGCATCGTGTGAGTAGCCACACTTCACATAAGCATCCAGAATAGCATTTGCTACTGAAGTTTCACCTGTATAACCAACCCGTAGGGACCACCCATGAGCTTCACGGACCATCTTAATCCCGCAGAAGGTACTCACGTGTATAACATTCAAGACTGTGACAGAATCCCACTGATTTACCCCACGGCACATTTCACTCATCAGTACAAAGAACTTCTCGATATGCTGTTCACTGTTGGCACAAGCAGAGAGAATCGCATTCCATGAAATTGAGTCTTTGTTCAGAATATCGGTGAAAGCACGGAAAGCGTCATCAAACCTATCACAGTGGCTATAAAAAGTGACAAGAGCATTCATTAAGGATGTTTCTTGAAGAAGTACTGGCCTTTGAAGGATATAACCATGAACCCCCATCCCTGGCTTGACATCACCTACTTGAGCACAAGCAGTGAGCAGACTGATAAAAGAAACAGAATCAGGAGCAATTCCTGTAGACAGAAGCTCATGAAACAGGCCCAATGCTCTATAGTGATACCCATTCATCACATATCCTGCAATAATGGTGTTCCATGATACAATATCCCTCACATCCATACTTGCAAATATTGATTCTACAGCCTTCATTTCAAGCACTTTGGAATAATGTGTCATCAGTGCATTAGAAACAGATACATCCATTTCCAAACCATGCCTGACCACGAAACTGTGCACTTCTTTCCCATGATACCTCCCAAACTCCGTGAATGAGCACACAGGAAGAATACTAGCCACTGTTGAATAATTTGGAAGAGATCCCTGTGAGATCATCTGACTGAACAGCACAAGTGCCTCTTGAAATAACCGATTCTCTATGTACCCTGCGATGATCGAATTCCATGAAACAACATCTTTACAGCGAATAGAAGAAAACGCTCTATGTGCATCATCCATTGCCCTGCTTCCACCACATTTTGCATACATTGACACCAATGCATTTCCACAGAGAGTATCTGACTCCAAACCAGTTTTCACCACGTAGCCATGGACGCTTCTGCCGGTCCGCAAATGCCTCCACTTTGCACACGCCGCAACAATTACAGCCACTGTCACTGCGGTCGGCATGCTCTGCCCCACCACGCCACAGGAGAGCATCGACCGGAACAAAACAAAAGCGTCCTCGAAAAGCCCACGGCGAGAGCACGCGGTGATGAGGATGTTCCAGCACACCGCGTCGGGGCGCGCCATTTCGTCGAACACCAGGAGGGCGTCCGCGAGGGGCCCGAACCTCCCGTACGCGCCCATGACCGCCTTCGCCACCGTCGCGCTGCTCGCCACGCGCCCGGCCTTCACGGCGAGCCCGTGGAGGCACCCCGCGAGGGCGGCGCCGCCGCCGCCACCCGGGAGCGCCGAGGCCGACCTGATCGCCGCGGCGAGCTCGAGCGCGCCCGGCCGGAGGCCCTCGGCCAGCATACGCCCAATGTGCTGCGCGGCGGGGGCAGCGAGCCCGAGCGGCGCGCTACCGCGCTGACTCTGCATGTGACCGGAAGCGGGCGCCGCCGCGTGGAGCGCGCGACGCGCCGCCTTGCGAGAAGAAGCAGATGCTGCTGCATAGCTCGTGCGGCCGAGGCTGCGATAGCGTGCGCGCATGGGAGGGAGGCTGTCGTCTCGCGTCTGGGAGGGAGTGGCCGGGGCGAAGAGAAGGAGCGGAGCTGCGGGCTCGCGCAGGTGGGAAGTTGGAGGCGTGGGGTGAGCGCCGACACCGTACGACTTGCGTGGTGATGAAACGTTTGTTTGGCCATCACAGCCAGGAGCCAGCGAAATACATGATCTTTGTTAATTTAATAATAGCGAATTAGCGATATATAGACGTACTCCGGTGGATTTTCAAAAGAAAAGAAAAAACTCTGCACAAATCATGAAGCAAACTAGTAGTCCAATTAATTTTAATCCAAACAAAAATCTCATGCTACTGCTACATAAAGTAGCACACCCAAATCCAAGTAACAGCAAATTAACAGAACCAGTAGTACTGGAAACTGAAGTCTTTGCAGGCTAGCAGCCGCTGCGGTCCAATCGACGAGTCTTGTTGTTGTTGGCGGCCTCCAGGGATGGGAAAGGGCTCAACATGAACGAGGGCCTCGTTTAGATTGGAGTTAGGAATTAGTATTCAATACCGTAGCATTTTTATTTGTATTTGATAATTATTGTCTAATTATGGCCTAACTAGGCTCAAAAGATTCGTCTCGTAATTTACAATCAAATTATGTAATTAGTTATTTTTTTTATCTATATTTAATACTACATACATGTGTCCAAAGATTTAATGTGATGAAGAGAGAGTGGAAAAACTTGAATCTAAACAAGGCCAGGGGTGAAATTCGATTAGGTCGAGTAGGAAGCATACAATTGGGTACACAGGAATCGATAACTTCTCTAATACAAAAACGGCAGTGCACAAATGTTGCAGTGTGATCTACTTCCAGCTATATATATCAGATGTTCAATTTGCTAGTTATGGACAAGCTCGATTTTGCAGTATATGTGAAAGGCTAAAAGTTCAAAATAAACATTGCACACGGTTTGAATTGGTTTCAAATCTTGCTGCTAGTCGTTGAGCACATTTTTGTCAACAGTCTTTGCTGTGATCGGGTGGAAGAAAATGACTTCGCTCATGCGAAGAGAAGACTCACCAGGTGTAGCTGGAGAGGGCGTCGACAGCGCACGGGCGGTAAGGGATCGCGGCCTCGACACGGTCACCATCGCCCAGCGACACAATACGACCCAGGTACTGCACCTTGCCGCCGCCGAGATGGTACGCCACGACGTGGAACGCGCCGGCGACGAGGAAGATCACCTCCTTGCTCGGGTGACACCCCAGGATCGAGAACTGAGTCTGGGCGCCGGCCCCGACGTCGAGCACATCATCCTAGCCAATCTCTATGTCGAGCACGCTAGCGTCGTCCCAGTTCCACTTCCACCGCCCGGAGGCGGAGCACCCGTCGCCCACGTCACCACTGCCAACTTCCTCGGCGTCCTCGTCGGAGAACCAGACGCTCTTGCCTCGGCCTCCACCTCTCCCTTCTCCAGTGGCGAGCGGAACGCAGTTGGACGGCGCGTGATGAAGCAGGTCCAGCATGCGCGCGTGCACGGCGAGGTCCTTGTCGCCTTCACGCGGAACGCGTCGACGCTCGCGTACCGCAGCAGCACCCCGTCGTCGGTGCTCGCGAAGATGGAGTCCACGGGGAGGCCCGACGAGACGTGGAGTTCTGCCTCGTCGGCCGGGAGCTTGACCATGTCGTACGTGCCCTCCGAGCAGCGGAGCACAACCAGCATGGGCGGCGCTAGCGGTATGCCCCTGTATTCCATGGAATACACATTTTTTTTTGTGATAAACACAAATATACGTATACATTTATAATGATACAACATGTTAGTTTGTTGAATATTTTAAATATGTAGCCCAAAAGCCCAGTAGAACAACTAGTAGCAGCAGCCCACGAACTTATAAAGACAGAAACCCATCGACCATATTCTCGTCCCTGTCTCTTACTCCCGTCCGTCGCTCTTATCGACCGGAGGGCGGCAGCTGCACCGGCGGGCGGCGCCACAACGGCACGGCGGGTCGGCTCTCCCCCTCGGCCCTTCAGCCCTCGCCCGGTCGCCCTCTCACCCCTCGGCCCTCTGGCTGTCGGGCCTCGACAACCAACACGGCAGCGCCTTGCGCCCGGCACTCCTCTGGCGGCGGCAGCGACCAAGGGCCTTTGCAGGCTCCCCCTTGCCTCTGGTGTCCGGGCGTCCGGCCCTCCCCTTCGGCACCTTTCTCATCTCTGGCTTGAAGCAATAGCAAGACGAACACAAATGACCCCATATTCATTCTTGATTCTTCATAGTAAGAATTGAAGGTTTCATTTTCTATTTTTTATTGCATTGTGTTTTTTTTCAGAAAGAAATGTTGCATTTTGTTCTTGTAACGTTGATTATTACCAGGGGCGACACCAGGTTCACTTTGCTTGGTGCCTTGTTACCAGGGTAAAAATATATTTTACCTGACATATATTCTAAAAAAAATTATATACTACTTGAGTTGTGCACCAGGATCAATTTTGTACTAGCTTTGCCCCTTATTACTATTGCTTATATGCATTAGAAAATTTTCATACATGAAATACCCGAACGTGAAATCCTGGCTCCGCCACTAACCACCAGGATGCGCTTCTCATAGTGCGCGTAGAGCGAGCCGCGGCAGTACAAGGCGGACCGCCACGTCCGTACCCACGGGTTCCCCTCCGCGGTCCGCCTGCGCCGCCGCATTACCCTGTCGTAAAGGCGTGCCGGGGCACAACGGCCCCGCGCGAGCAGTCGCCTCGTCCACCGCCCGTGCGCCGACGAGAACACGAGCAGAGGCAGCGCTTTCTCCTGGCCCGGCTGTTGCCGTCCCTTGAACGATTCCGTCATGAACATTCCCAACGTCACACGCCCTTGCCTGGGAGCCTCGGCGTCGGCGGGGAGGCTGGCGTTGGAGGTGCATCATCGAGGGGGTGGCACTGGGAGGAGGAGGACCTCGTACTCCAGTGACACCGCCGGGTCGAACGCGAGGAACAGGCCCTTGTGTCCGTGCGGCCACCACGTCGGCGGGGGCGGCAGGAGCGCCCAGCGCTCCGTCGTGGGGTTGCACACGAAGCTCGCCACGAGCCTACCGACCAGATAGTCCTGGAAGCAGAGCATGAGGCCGTTGCACTGTGTTAGATAATCTGCCTGCTGCATCCATATGTGGACACACGGTAGGGGAAGGCGGCGCCGAAAAGGCTCCCTGCTGTGGTACTGTAGCTGTTGCAGGGACAGGTGTCGAACGGCTCATCTGTCGCACTATAGCCGCAGCAGGAGCAGGCGCCAGAGTCAGCCATTCTGTCTCATCTAGTTATTGTAGCAACATGACAGCTTTACTAAGACTAGATGGATAGAGTTGTATATATAGTTTGTCACTGCAACTCAGTAAAGAGCGAGTTCAGTTTTACCATCTACTTTGAGCTTGTGCTGTGTGTGTACTCTGTTCTCCCTCCCGTCTTCTTCCTCTAACCATAGTGTGTGGTTGGACAACGATAGTTCGTGGTCAGCATCGCTAGTGTGTGCTCGGCAACACTAGTGAGTGGTCGGATAACTCCGCTCTGGAGATCCTGTGGGCTAACAAGTGGTATCAGAGCCGTACAACCGCCGTCGTCGGACTAACCGCTGGTGATGACGGAGGGTTTGGAGATGGGTGCTTCCTCAGGGACTGTGTCGATGGAGGGTAGATCGTCATTGAGTTCGTCGAAACTGGTCGGCAACTCGCGGACGTCCTCACCAAGTCGCTCGGATGTCTTCGACTCATGGAGCTGAAGAAGACAATCGGCATGGAGGGGGTTATAGGGTTAGCAACAGGATTAGGGGAAGAATTGTTAGATAATCTGCTGCATCCCTGTGTGAACCCACGGCAGGGGAAGGCGACGCCGAAAATACTCCCTGATGTGGTACTATAGCCGTTGCAGGGACAGGCGCCGAACGGCTCACCTGCCGTACTATAGCCGCAGCAGGAGCATGCGCCAGAGTCAGCCCTGTTGTCTCATCTAGTCACTGTAGCAGCATGGCAGCTTTACTAAGACTAGATGTATAGAGTTGTATATATATAGTTTGCCACTGCAACTTAGTAAAGAGCGAGTTCAGTTTTGTCATCTACTCTGCAGAGCTCCGGTCAACGCTGGTACTTGTGTTGTGTGTACTCTGTTCTCCCTTCCGTCTTCTTCCTTTAACCATAGTGTGTGGTAGAACAACGATAGTTTGTGGTCGGCATCGCTAGTGTGTGATTGACAACACTAGTGAGTGGTCGGATAACTCCGCACCAGAGATCCTGTGGGCTAACACACTGGTCCTGCACGGCGGCGGTGGCACTGCTGCACGGGAGGTACGGCCGCAGGAAGGCGAGCCTGTCGATGGTGGGGGCCCGCGAGGCCGGCGGGGGCAGGAAACCGGGGTGAGGGTGAGGCCTCCACGGTTTGGTGGCGGCGCGGACGACGTTGGCGAAGAAGCCCGGGAACGAGCGCAGAGGGAGCGCGTGCAGGAGGAGCCCGTGGTCGTCCACGACCGCGCGCGCCAGAGCGTGCACACGCACCGGCACCTGGCCAGGGAATGCACGCGGAGGCGGCGGAGGACCTCAATGAAGATGTCGCCGGGCAGGGCGTCGATGCCGCCGCCGCCGCCACCGTCCGCGTTCATGTCCATCGGGGCCGGCCGCCCGCTGTGTTTTGCCCAACACGTATCCACGCGACGACCCACACGGTTTGCGTACGCCGCCCGTTACGCTCGGATCGGAGACGTGCGCGTGCGTGCCTCCTGCGTCTGCATGAGATGTTATTGGGAGGGCCCGGTCGATATCGAAAAGCAAGGGGACTTGTGTCTACACTCACGAGACCGAACGACTCGGACGGTTGGACCGCACCACGGGCTACCCTACCGTACCTTACGTGGACGGACGGAACGTCGAAGGCTTGAGGCCGCCTCCGCCACGTAACGTAACAAGCGCATGCAGAACGTCGAGGGCTCGAGACAACTTGGCAAAGAGGAGATCAGTCGAGGACTCTTCTCCTTTGTTCTCAAAATTGAATATGATCGATCATCTTTTCTTTGACGTGCTGCATTTTGGTAGGAAATTTCTGAACTGCTAGGCCGTAGAGTGGGCTTTAAGTCTTTAACTTTCTGTTGTGTTTTATTTTTCTTTATCTTCTTCTATTTACTTCTCTTTTTCTCTTTGTATGTTTCATGTAGATTTTTTTCATTTTGTTTTTTATTTTTTATTTTTCTTTTACTCTAATTGTTTTTTATTTTAATCATTTTCATGCTTTAGTTTTTTATTTTCTATTCTGTCCATTTCATATGTTACATGAGATACATATCATGTTTGCGTAGTATACATGTGATATTTTTTTATTTTTTTCTTTTCTTATTTAAGTTTTTTTTTGTTATTTTTCTGTATGTTTAGCATTAGTTATTTAAGTTTTCATTTGTATTTTTTGTTATTATACTCTAATTATTTACTTTTGTGATAAATATAAAACATTTTTGTTATCAAACCATATCAAACTATTTAAGTTCAAAAAAATATCAGCTAGATATTACTTGAACAACCTAAAATATATCACAGAACATCTCGCAAGTATCATGTCAATATTCAAAGAATAATAATGAAACATCAGTCTTATACTACTTGAACATCCGTAAACATATCGTAGAACATCAACTGTATAGTACACGAACATCATATGTATCTCATAAAAAATATAGTCCAATAAAAGAGTAAAAACTATGTAATAGGAAAAGAACAAAAATTCAATTGTAGTTAAATAAATAAGAAGAAAATGGTAAATAAAATGATAAAGGAAATGGAAAGAACAAAAAATCAAAATAATATAGAAAGGAAAAAACAAAAAAGCAAAAAACAAACAAACAAAAGAAAAGGTATCATAGAACATCACATGATACCTTTGAGTGCAAACAAAAAGTTTATATAGTTGTTAATGCTGTTTGTTGTGCATCCTTATGGTGCTTATGGAAAACTCCTAATTCTATTTGTTTTCAGAGGAAAGAAGGGTAATGGGTTGGAGAAGTGTGTGAAGCCGCTGATTGTTGAATTGCAGGAATGTTAAAAAGCTTGAAGGCACTGCTGTTTCAAATCAAGCGAGGAGGAGACACTGCACTAAACTGGCTCGTTGGGCGTTTGGAACTTTGGATATCTTGGCCAGAAGCCCTCCAAGGATCAGTTGGGAATACGGACATCAATCATCAGGTTAATTTGGGGAACTTTGGAAACACAGGCATTACTAGTACTTCCTCCACTCTAAATTATAAGATCTTTTAACTATTCTATATATATTATTTTTACTATACATCTAAATATATATAGTATATAAAAGTTATATATCTAAAAGAGTCAAAATGTTTTATGATTTAGTAGTTTATACTCATGATATTTCGGTGCCTAGGATGGGAATGTTCGTGAAGCAACTAGCGGCAATGCTTTTTCTTAGAAGCGAAACATTTGGAGACTTTAGTCGTTTATATAAATGATGTAAGATTTGGCGGGTGAGCCTCGAATTCGTTTTTGCCTAGCACGGATAAATATACTCTTTACGTTTCGTTGGTTATTAATAAAGTGGAGGAAACTTTATTATTATCTTTGTCCGTAAAAAAAAAAAGGAAGTGCCGGCTGCCAGTTTGACGCAAGCACAGCGCTTGTGTTGCCCCGGCTTGTTATGGAACAAACGAAAACAACGGAAATACTTCCAGGCGTCCGTCCGTGAGTCGCGTTCGCAGCATTTCAAGAGCCACGCGCCCTCGCTCCCTACGCCGCTCACCTGCGTGGCAGCCACCTGCGTCGCTCGACGTGGCTGCTCATACATCCGGCCCTTCCCAGTGCGCGCTCGTCGGGCTGCCACGTCGTGCCCTTCCCCCATCGCCGACCATGTCGCGCGTGCCTCGCTCCCTGCGTCACTCACCTGCGTGGCAGTCACCTGCGTCGCTCGCTCCCTCGCCGTTCGTCCGTCGCCCATTGCCGCTGGGCGCGCCGCTAACCATGGGCGCTGGGGCACACGTGCCATGGCGCGTCAGGTTTTTCCTAGCCGAGCCAAGGGCACCCACGAGCGTGGCCGGTGCTGGTGGTGCTCGCGCGCCGTGGCTCACCGCCGGCTCTCACCCCGACGCTCGAAATCGACTGGCATGGCATTCCCTCCCTATGTTGCATATATGTTTCAAGTGTTTCAGAAGTTTCAGATGTATGCTGCAATTATTTCATCTTGATGTTGCAAAACTAAATTGGAATGTTGCACATGTTGCATATGTTGCAAGTGTTTCAGAGGCATGTTGCAAACGTTTATTCAAAATGTTTCATCTGTTTCCTAACGTATGTTACAATCTTTTTTTATCTGGATGTTGCATATGTTTCACACATATGTTGCAACAGTATGTTCCAAATGTTTTAGCTGTTTCGGTCTTATGTTGGGTCTGTGGCAGCGCATCTCACGGAGGTGCGGCGCCGCTGTGTAAGGGTGGGCCAGGGGTTCGGGGATTTTCTCGATTTGCGTGAGAAGATCTTCTTAAGCCGGAATACCCGGGAGCTATCTAGCCACTGCGGATCGAGTTTTTTTAGTTGCAAGTTGCAAATTTGGATGTTTCGTGTGTTTCACACACATGTTGTAAGTGCGTGTTCCAAATGTTTCATATACTTTCAGACGTATGTTGCATTCAAATATTTTTCATGTTGCAAGTGTTTTATGTTGTACGGTTTGGGCGAGTCAGGCGAAGCGGACTAGGCGCCGCAGCGTGCTTGGGGCGGCAAGTGGTGCTACGGTCAGGGTGCGCTGGGGCATGCTCATCATCAGCTGCTCATCCCGGCTTCTACGTGCTGCCCGCGCGGAGAGAGAGAGAGGGCGTTAAGGTTGACCGGCGGGGGCAGAGACGGGGCGAACTGCGTGCGTGGGGCAGGATGAAGGCGTACAGGTTCAGGGCGAAGATGGACGGGGATGGGCTGAGCGGGCGTCCGATCGCGCGCGTTGGCTCGGACGTTTGGACGCTAGCCACGCCGAGTCGGATCGATGTCAAATGGTCGTTTGCTCCCAGCTAGCGTCTTAGCCTCTTGGCCCATCAATCGGCCCGGCTCATCACCGCCGAACTCGCCCCACACCGACTATAGGGCCCAGCCCACGACGCACGCCTCGCTCTCTGGGCGTCTGGAGGCAGCTGGCAACAACCTCCTCGGCTCCTCCGTTCTGCCCATAAAAGATGCCCCCCATCCCTCCCCACTCGTACCAGGCTTCTCCATCCAGAGGCTTCCTCCCCACACCACACCGATAGCCCTCCGCCTTCAAACCCTAGCGAGCGAGCCAGCGAGAGGTCTCACCCCCACCACCACCCATGGAGCGCCGCCTCCACCACCTCGCGCTGCTGCTCGGCCTCCTCGCCTGGGCGGCGGCGGCCGCCACGGGAGCCGAGGCGCAGCCGGTGTGCGACCCCTCCATCATCGCCACCCAGATCGCGCTCTTCTGCATGCCGGACATGCCCACGGCGCCCTGCTGCGAGCCGATCATCGCCTCCGTCGACCTCGGCGGCGGCATCCCCTGCCTCTGCCGCGTCGCCGCCCAACCGCAGCTCGTCCTCGCCCGCATCAACGCCTCCCACCTCCTCGCGCTCTACGCCTCCTGCGGTGGACAGCACACCGGGGGCGCCCACCTCGCCGCCGCCTGCCAAGGTACATCACGTTCGCCTCTCTTTCTCTCTCTCTCTTTCTGTTTGTGTGTGTGAGAGAGAGACCTGTGCGCGTGAGTGTGTGTGTGTGTGTGTGTTTGCCTGTGTGCGTGAGGCGGTGAGGGTGTGTGTTCGCTCGAATCCACTGGTGGTTTGGCGAGATCCTAGTGTACTGTGTCTGCTTTCGGATTTGGTTCTTGAGCTTTTTGCGTGCGTTTTTGCGTGATGGTATTTCGTTGCGAGTTCTCGTCTTCCACTGTGGCGACGAACCCGTACGTCTTGATCAAGTTTGTTCGAATCCTTTTTTTGCTTCATATCGTCGTCTCTTTCGGGTCGCAAGAGCGCTACTACTAGTACTAGTGGGCATATTTTGGGTGAGATTACCCGTGGCTCCGTACGCGCGCGACTCCTAGATTTTTTAGCCTTTTCTCTTTGGTTTGGATTTCGTTCGTTTTGGTCTGGATTTCGAAAAAGTTTGTTCGTCTTGGTTCCCCTCTGTGGGCTTAATTTTCCCCATGGATCACCTGATGATTTGACCCGTTTCTGATGTTTTTTGCTTACTGAAAGGTATTCGCTTATTAAGCGAGGCCCGAACTCTGCGTTTCTTTTTCATCTCTGCTTTTTGCGTTCTTGTCTGCTTGTTCTTGTTGCGTGAAAGTTTCCTGGCCTGAATTTTGAACACAGAGAGCAACTGCCCTCTGGGCTCTCTGGCTTTTGCAGCAGCAGGCCAGCTGCACAGCCTGCAGCAGCGCTGCAGCCTTTCAGGATTCTTTCCGGCAAAGACCAGCCCCGTTTCCCTTGCCCGTTTGTTTTCTTGGCCCGCACGAAATAGCGCCACGTCGCATGCTTTTCTACCCGAAAGACGATACTGCCCTTGTACTAATTATCTTACTGTCGTTTTCCTGTTTTTGTGAACGTGAAATTATTGCATGTCTGGACTAACGCCGTTAAACTCTCGTGCTCTTTGCCTGCAGGTCCGTCACCTCCCGCCACCGTTCCCGTGATCGCCCCGCCGCCGCCCGCCGCGCCCCGCCACAAGCAGCCAACACGTACGAACCCGCTGCCACCTGCTCTGCTCTGTGCTATTTCTGCTTTAACTTTTCTCGTGCTCTGTTTGCTCGATGCGAGAGTTGAACTGTTGATGTCTATGTTTCTGTTGTGATGTTTCGCAGGCGAGGCTCCTCCCCCGCCGCCACAGAGCGAGAAGTCGTCCCCATCGCCCCAGCAGCAGCCTGGCGCCGCCGCCGCCGCCGCCCACGGCAAGGCCATCCCCACCAGCCCGGCCGCCTCCTTCTCCCAGCTGGCGCCGGCCGCCGCGCCCACGACGCCCACGCCACCGCACTCCGGCTCCGACAAGGGGCCCATCGTCGTCTCCGCCGCGTTCCTCTTCTTCGTCATCGCCGTTATCATCATCCTCGACTGAGCCCACGGCGCCGCCCCGGCCGGCCGCCAACCATCGCCCGGTGCCTGGCTTGAGCCCGTAGCAGCAGCAGAAGTCGTAGTGCAACTCGTTCTCACGATTTCCCTTTGGCAGTAGCAGTAGTATCATCATCAGTAGTAGTAGTAGTGCCACTTGGTCATCGTAGTTCTGTTGCATCTTAGTAGTAGCATCGGTAGTACTTGATCGGTGGATTTGGAAGGAGGACGTGAGGGTTGGTCTAGCAGTAGTCCCCGTATGGTCATACCTGCAGTACTATGGTTTCGGATGAATGGTGATGGAACTAATCTTGGATGGTTCGATGTGGAACTTAATTTCTGCTTGCTGATGATGAATGCAGATGGTAATGGAATGTGAACTTAGATAAATGTGGCTTGTTATTTTGATTTCATTGTTTCTGATCCCATGTTACAGTGAAGTTTTTGGCTCTGCTTGTGTTTTTCTCTGTTGTTGCTGATGATCAGTTGATGCTTATTGGTTTATAGTAGTTTAATTCTTCTGGTTGGTACTTGGTAGTAGTAGTTCAATTTTCATGTATATTACTGTAATGTTGGTCATAGTCTAATTTTATTAGTAGCGAGTCCTATCTCGTCGTAGCTTAATATTCCCCTGCATATGATGAACTTTTTTGGAGGATGGATTTCATGTGGATATCTAGTACTGCCTGCAAACTTTGTAGAAACCTGAATGAATTGTCCACATAGTTTCACTATTTGCAGAAAGCCCTGTTTGTCTGGAATTTAGAAGCGTGAACCTGAATGAATTCCTGTTTGTCTGGAATTTAGAAGAGCGTGAACCTGAATGAATTGCCGACGTAGTTTCAGTAGTTGGAAATAAAGATTTGTATTGAAAACTGAAACAGGTAGTCCATGCCTTAGCGGCTTTGCTCAGTTCCTGTATCATCACAATTGATTCTTTTCATTTTTCACATGAATTTTTTGACTGAATTTTCTACATTTTCACTTGAATTTTTATCTCTTAATTAACCAAGTAAAAATAACTAAAAAGTACCTCCCTCAAACTACACTAACCAACTAAAATAACTAAAAAGTACCTCCCTCAAACTACACTAGCAAACATACCATGTAGGTAGGAGAATAAAATTAGTGGAATAATTAGGTGTATTGCATTGGGTCTCATGGGCTGATTATATACGGTACATTGGACTAACACCCCACATGGGTAAATAATGTGGTATTATAACACCTGGAAATCTTAAAGGTAGATAATCCATACACAATTACAAGATTTCTTTATCCATTATATAGTCGACTCGACATTTGTACACAAGCGCAAACGGGGCATCACATCGTTCTGGTTTAGACGATGAGGCCAGTAGCATTTGCAAACGGCCGGGCGGCCGGCGTCGCCGAAGTTGGCAGACGTCATGATATGATGTAACATCCGTAGTAGTCGTATCGTCTCTGCCGCATCCTCGCTCTTGCAGCGAGTCACCGGAGCCCCCACGGAATCACCTCGGGGCGCAGGAGGCCGCGGTCCCCGGGTCCAGCTTGTGCGCGGGGGGCACTCAGGACGACTCCAGCTGCTGCTTTTTTTTTTCTCTCCCAGTCCGGGCTTCGGCGACGGCGTGGACCGAGGCCTACCACCTCTCAGCTGTCACCTGAATACCTGATGCCAAAAGTTGTTATCCTTTTTAACAAGAGTGCAGCCAACCGAAAGAAAAAACATTGCATGTATCTCCCTCAAAGTACACCACACGACAGTAGGCACGCACAACCCATTGATGTGTTAAAGGGAGATAGATGAAAGTATGAAACCCATCTGTGTGCCTAGTGGTAAGGCGGTAAATAAAGGGAAAGACAACGGTAGAATGGTGGTGATGGCATGCACATTATTATTACCCCCAACTGGCCAACTCCCATTCCGGCCGGCCGGCGGACCGACCCGATGAATCAGCCGACGCCGTGATGTCTTTCAGGATAGCTCTAACAAACGGTGAACTAATAAAATAGGTAATCTATGCCTGCTTCTTAGTTTTAGTTTGCCGTACGTACGCATGTACCATCGCTGAAAGTTGGCTCACTTTCGGTATTATTATCTTCACTAACCAACTAAAAGTATCTCTCTCGATCGGTTTACATTAGAAAACCTCTAGAAATCTCTAAGATAGTGTCGGTGTTTCGGAACCGGGGGTCTTTAACTGACTAGTGAATTTGTGCTGCGTGCTCCCAATTCTGAATGGAGATGTAAAGAGACACAAGGTTTATACTGGTTCGGGCAATGGATGCCCTACGTCCAGTCTGAGAAGGTGTTCTTGTATTCCTTGCACCGGGGTGCTCGTAGTAGGGGGTTACAAGCTAGGCGAGAGAGGGAGTTCGTCCCAGGTCTCTGTGAGGGGAGGTGATATGAATTACAGAACGAGGCGTGTTGTTCGTGCGAGTATCTGTGATTCTATCCGTCGTCCTGGAAACGGTCCTGGCTGCCTCCTTTTATAGCCACAGGGAGAAAACCAGGAGTACATAAGAGAGCTATACGTGGAGCAAGGACTATTCGATGACGTATTTACTCCTGGAGCATCATGGCGTTGTCGTGGGAGTTCCCGTAGATGTCTAATCGGTATGGTCTTCACTACAAGTAACATGCTACGCATTTATTGACTTGGTGGATTGCAGAGGCTCGGCGGCCATCGTAGCCGGTCGTGCCGAGGCCTGTCGTGCCGAGGCCTGTTGTGCCGAGGCCTGAGAAGTGACCCAGGTGCAGATGCGGGTCTCAGCAGCCATCAGGCGGAATAGTGCGAGACGTGCGCCCTCTGGGATACGGTACTGTATTGTCGATGAGGGATGGTAGAAAAGGTGATCTCGACCGCTGTCCCGTCGCTCTGCTGCGGCCAAGACCGCCGATCGTGGCTTACGAAGCGGTGCAAACCGAGCGCATTAATCGGATGCGATAGCTTCGTCGAAAAAAGACTTTTGAGGCGGAGGCGACGGTTATGCGGACGAGCCCGCCTTGGGCGAGGCGGAGCGCGCCAATTGTCCCAAGGCCCTACCGGGGGTCTCTCGGGCGAGGCGGACGGGCGAGGCGGAGTAAGATCGCGGATCCGAGGCCTGCCGAGGGGGCTCGGGCGGGGCGGAGCGGTCGGTCCGCCGATTCCGAGGCTACAGAACCCGCTCGACTCCCCACGTTGCGATGTCCTTGGTGCGGGAGTTAGGCGAAGACACGGTGGTGGTAACCCCTACTCAGGCCGCCGCAGATGGCGGGGGTTGACGCGACCGGCGTAGTAGTCGGTCACTTCACCAGATCGTGCCATCGCAAGGTCCCTGCCGGAGTGGTTGGGTGCTTGGATGCGACGTTCGGTCAGAGCAGTTCGGTTGAAGAGGCGGCCACGGGGCTGGTGCCGAGCCGGCCTCGCGCGAATCGGAGAATCGGGACTTCTTCCGAGGCCCCGGGCGAGGGGGTCTCGATGAGGGGGCCTCGACGCGGGGGCCTCGGCGAGGCGGTCTCGGGCGAGTCGGAGAATCGTTTGCTTCCGCTGGGGCTCGGCGACGGGGTCTCGGGCGAATCGGAGATTTCGGCCGAGACCTCGTTTGTTCATTCCGTTGGTTCTGTCTTTAGGGTCTAAGCAGTTTTTCGATCTTTGCTTGGGGTACCCCATTTTCTGGTATCCGACAGATAGATTCCATATACAATTATGTACGTACAAATACTTCTTTGATCCGGTAAGTATAGTCGACTCGAGATTGTACAAGAGCGATCAGTAGTACCAAACGGAGCATCACATCGATCTGATTTTGGCGAGGCCTGGCCTATCGCGTTTGCAAATGGCCGGGTGGCCGGCGTCGCCTTAACTTGGCAGACCGCAAGCGTGGTGATGTAACCATAATCGTATCGTCTCTGCCGTGCCCTCGGTTTCCCAGCAAATTGCCGGAGCAGGCAGGTAGGGTCCACACGAAATCACCGCCAGATGGCGCAAGAGGGAAGGAGGGGCAGCGGGTCCACACCCCACAGCTTTGTTCCCAGTCCAGGCTTCTCTGTGACCGAATTTTTTATATTTTAGCCCTTTTTTTTTAAAGTTTCTCACAAATAGACCTCTGGTGGAAAGATTTCAGAATATGGACCCTTATCTTGGAGCCATTGATGCTGGCGCCGAGCTAACACGTCTCGGTGCCAGCGTCCCTGGCGCCGAGCTCCTGGGCTCGAAGCAAACGGGGGAGGTGACATGGCAGGGAGCTCGGCGCCAGTCACTCTAGCGCCAAGCTCGGCGCCGTAGATCTTGGTGCTGGAGTTTGTGTGTCCAAATAAACATGAAGTAAGTGCAAAGTGTATGTGTTGAAATGTTGAGCTATATGTGTTCATGTACTAATGTCTACTTATTTAGGTGTTTTCAATGACGAAGTGTCGTTTCAAGGAGTGGTTGTATGGTCCTAAGAACCAATGGCCGGAAGAACCGCGAAAGGTTAAGGAAAAGAAGAAAGAAAGAGTAATTTACAAAGCACCTCCTGTCATGTGCGAATGTGGTGTTAAATCCAACTATGGCCTAGTCCCTTCGGAGCTTGGAATAGGCCATTATTGCGGCCATATGGTTGAGTATGATGAGGTTGGTTATTTTTGTGGTAGACATGAAATCGTATTTTGTTTCTTTTGGTAAGACATATATGATATAATTTTTTGTTTGAACAGAGCACTAGGAAATGCAGGTGGGAATGTTATAATGGTCAAGCTAAGTTCTTGGATGAACTGAAGAAGAGGCAAGTAATTGCACGGAAGAGGGGATATGGATCTGACTACGTCAACCTATTCGTTAAACATCACAAAGACAAGATGCATGAGTTTGCTATACAGCGCGGTATTTGTAACCCGATCGATGTTGAGCTGAACAAATGGGGATTGGAGAGATGGATGATGTTAGAGGAGGAGAGGGCAAGGAATGAGGCAAGCGAGGAGACAAGAGTACAGATGCATGTCTTGAACGAGCATGTTGTTGCATTATGTGCTATTGAATGCTTGAAAGCATTTTTTTCGTTGCC